CCGACACACGCGAGTACACGGCGGGGATACCCTGGTCACCACAGCCAGAGCCCCAGCTCACCAAGCCAATCAGAATATCATCCGCATCTCCCTGACCCTTCTCCTTGACCAGCGGGGCACCTGTGTCACCGACGCACGAGTCCCTACCAGGAGCACCGCCAGCACAGACCGACGAGTTGTCGACAACAAATAGAGGAGCGCAGTCTTCGTTGTTCCACACCTCCAGGCCGACACCCTGGAGCTCGTTGGAACGAGTGCCGTTGGGGAAGCTGGTGTCACCCCAGCCCATGACCTTGGTCCACATACCTGCGACGATGTCCGAGTCATCAGCGTTGGGGAGCTTGATAGGGCTGAACTTGCTGGGCTTCTCCAGCGTCAACAACGCAAAGTCGTACGACGCGCTGGAGTCGTTATAAAGGGTGTGGTTCTGAGCAGACATGACCTTGATCTGCTCGCCATCCTTCGTGCCGTTGATGTAGTGCGTGCCCACAGCCACAAAGTTCGGCTGCTGGAAGCCCGTGCATGATCCGGTAGTAAGCACGTGAGTAGGAGAGATAAGAGCGCCACCGCAGTAAGTGTTGCCATCCGCGGTAGAGCGGATACCAGTAGTGTACGCCTTCGTACCGACGGGGACTTCACCTCCGCCGAGGACAAGCTGACGCTCAACGTGCTCGCCGGCAGGGTTGGCAGCGACGGCTCCAAGAGCGAGCGAAGCAGCAGCTAGAGTGGAGACGACCTTCATACTGTTCGTGAAGTGGACGTTGACGGTGCTTGGAATGCGGTGTGCAGTAAGCGGCGAAAACCAGAGTGGACTGCAGGTCGTCAAGATCCCATCGTGATCAAGTCTCGTGTGCCGTTAAGCCAGAGCGCGGTTGTGGTGCCTTCTGCGACGGCGGGATTCGATGAATTGGATCGACAGTATCGAATTCATTGACTCGGCACCTTGGCTTCAAATCGAACCGATTTGAAAACGTGTGGGGTGGCGATAAACCCTACGAATATGGCGGGGGATAATCCATATGCAATTCCACAACAGGCAACATCGACAGATCACCAGCCAGTTCGTGTTTGTCTGTGGACGAGGTTCTTGAATAAGTACCCCACTTCGAAGTATATACACTGTCACCCTGCCTCAATCGTGGCCACATGGCCAAACACTAGCTGTTACGAGGACGGATTAAGCACTGCGGTCCATCCATCATGCTTGGCTGTTAGTACTTCCGATAACGGGTCACTACGTGGTTAGTATTTGATTTTTGTACGCTTGAACCCATGTACAATAATGTATTGTAGACGCTAGGTCGGTACTATACGAGACTGCAGCGACTTTCGCTGTTCGGGAAGGACACTCGAGCACGACTGCATGAACAAGCAGCATATGGGATTAATCCAAGAGTTTGCACAGCACACCTTCCGCTCAGCGTTAAATCGTGAAGGCACGCGTATGATAGTGTATTACGTTGCTATCCCTTCACTTTCAATAAAACTGGCTGCCCTGTGGCGGTTTGTCAACGCCACTGGAGGAGGTAACAGTGAACTAGAACTTTGGTGCACTTTTTCCTAGATCGTGCAAATGCTGTGTGGTCATCGATATCTCCCGCCTCCAAGGAACATCCATCGATAGAAGCAGGAAAAGCCTCATCCAATTGACCCATCGCACCACCAGCACTATCAAAGATGCAAGTCGAGCGGAGCCGCGCAAGAGGGGCTCTTTACGCAGCTTGAAACACAGCAGGAGCACAAATCGCCTCGCTTCGCTCGGTGGGGTTGCCTTACGTTTCATATAAACTCGAATAACACGCTCAGGAATTGGTCCCGGAGAATGCTAAGACAGTATCGGTATCGACAATGACCATGGAGCATTTTTAGCTGACGCACGTGATCTATGGCGCTTCACTCGGCGGGGGCACATAATACCGATTTGGCAGCATAGATAAAAAATAATGTGTGTGTGCTCTTCCAAGACCGTAGTCACCACTATAATGTTATTTTTTTTATTTTGAAGCCCAATCGTAGTTAATTTACGTTTAGTTTTACTCAACTACCGGTGGAGATATTCTCACTTTTATTCATGCCGATGGCGCACCATACCATAAAATTGCCGACACCTGGCCGACTGTGCCGACAAGACATGATTGGTCGAAAATGTAAGAAAACTGATTGATTCAAGTGAATAGATTGACACGGAAGGTGTAGGAAACTTGCGCAGTGCAACACTGG